TAAAATATATGTTATTTTGGAAAAATTCAAGTTTGTTAATTTATGATATTGAGACTTCAGTTTTTAATAAAGGCTTAATATTATTCTTACAATATTATATTCACCAACATCATGACCCATTCTTTTTGGACTTTCTTCAAGTATCAATGAATGTACAAAGACTTGATCGTATTCTTCCTCCAATTATTTCAATTTTATTAACACAACAAGACGATAGAAATAAACAATTATATGGATTTGAAATTAATGATACACTATTATTTTCATTATTAAACATTATTGATACAATGTTTGCATCTTCTAATCCTAAATTTATTGAAACATTAAAATTACTTCAAATACCAATGTTTCTTAATGAAAAATATAAAAAAATTGAATATTCATTTGATAAAATGTCAGAACCATCAAATATTCTTGAATTAATATTTTGTGTTATTATGTTATATATGAAAGGAAATAAAAAATTAATTAATACTTCTGATAAAACACAGCTATTTCATTATCAATCTCTTGCAACAGATATTTTAATTAATATTTTTACTTCTTATCAAGAAAATGAAATAATAAAAGAAATCAGTATTTCTACTCAATATACTATACTACTTTCATTTGCTGAGTCAATTACTCATGCTCCTAAATTACAATTACATTTACTTTCTTTAGTAAAATTATTAGTTAGACTTTCTGATATAACTCAACCTGAACAAAGTATTACTAGATTTTCTTTATTTCTTCAAACAATTATTAGTGGAATTTGTCAAGAAAAACATATGTATCGTTCTCATTTTCTTAGAATGATTGAAGAAAGTATTGATTTTATTCCAACAACAGAATATAAGACTTCTGTAGTATTACTTATACAAGCTATTTCTAATGTAATTTCACAAAATACATTACCAAGATCTATTTGTTTAAATACTTTATCAGAAGAAATTAATCCAGTACTTGACATTTTAAAAAAATTATATGAACATTCACTAAAACTCTTTCCTTATAAATCTCAATTTGAAGATAATTCAAACCAACAAACACAACAAGTAAGTGCTGGACAACAAATTGGAAATGCTGTATTATTTATTCCAATGCTTGTTGTATCTGTTTTTTCTGATGTAAAAGGTAATAAAGAAAAAAGAAATAATGAACCACATTTTCTCACTTCAACATTAAGAAGAACTATTCAATCAATATTTGAATTAGTCAGTGTAACTGAAAATCCTAATAACTCATTTGTCTTACAAAGTAATTGTGTTTCAGTATTGGAAATGTTATTTATTTCATTCCCACTTGATTTTATTGGAGAATATTTATTAATGTTTAATTCATTCCCTGATAAACATTCATTTATATTCAGATCATTTAAACAAGAATTTATAGTTAAAATGTTATGGTCATTATTAGTTATTAGTGAAGCTGGATTATATGAAGATGTAGCTCCACAAAAAATATTTGATTTTGTTCAATTTATTATAACAAAAGTTATAACTCCAACTGAATTATATAGAACACAAATGTATATTCAGTCATTAATTAATCATCATATGGTAAATGATGAAATGGTCTTTGTTATTATACATACTATTAAATTATTCCTTGATGTTATTAATCAACTTGATATTAAAAACCAAAATAAATTAGGAAATGGATGGGAGGAAATTATTAATTCAATATTAAATAAGTATATGGCAATTGTTCAACGTTGGAAAGAAGGAGGTCAACCTATTAAATTAAGAAATAGACAAAAAAGTCTTTCATCAAATACATCAACATCTTCTAGTTTAGGAGTTACTATTGCATCAAGTTATGATAGTAAAGATTCATCAAAAAATATAACAGAAGATAATCCATTATCTATAATAAATAATTCTTTATACATTTCTTCAGATTTATTAAATATTGTTATTGATGATATTATTCCAATTATAACAATGGCATTTGATGAAAATTCAATAGGAAATATTATTGATTTAGGCAAACAATTTGAACATAATTTAACACAACCTTGTAGTGATATGGGAATTAATGTCTCATCTTTAAATATTTTAAATGAATTAGCAAAAAGAAATCAATTAAATAATAAATGGAATAAAATTATATTTAATGTATTTAATAATGATGAATTCTTTAATAAATCAAGTAATCTTTTAACACTATGGAAAGCACCAATTTATTCAGTATTTTCTAGTAATAATGCTAAATTATTATTTGACTTTATTTCAAGTATTAACAAAGGAATATTAGGACAAGGACTTCTTGTTAATAAAGAAAATGAATCAATTTTAAGAGCAAAAATATTTAAAAGAATTGCATTTGTAATTTATTGTGGAGAAAAAGAAGTATTTGATAATTTTATGGATCAAAACCAATCATTAATTGAAAATATATTAGATAGACTGATTGATTCAATTAAACAATATCCATCAGAAATATTATATAGTTGTGGATTTTTATTATTAAGAGTCATGTTACTTAAATGTTCTTTTAATAAATTAAAGAAAAAAATGCCAACCATATTAAATGAATTAATAACTATATTTAATTTACCGTTTGATAAAGGGTCTATGATTATTTTAAGTGGATTACAATTATTTGATATGTTACAACTTATACCTGACTGTTCAATAGACCTTCATTCTTGGATTTTCCTTCCATTATTTATCCCTGATGAATCATTTGATAATTCTAAATATCAACCATTAATCCCTACTCTTATATTACCAAGCGATGATACTGAACCATGTGTCAATAAACCAAATATATCATATGAAGGTTTAACTCAATCAAGAGAACTTATTATTAAAGAAAAGAAATTAATTGATATGCAACAATACCAACTCTTAAGAACAAAATTAAATTATTATTCACAAGATCTTTTCTATATGACTTCTCGTTCTGATGAAATAGATATTAATTCAACAATTAGAGTTTTGTTAGATAACTTTAGTGAACAGCAATAATAATTTAAGAATTTAGTTTTTTAATAATAAATTTATTATTAAAATATTATTTTTAAGTTTCAGATATAAATAAACAATTAGAAAATTCCTCTTTCTTCTTTCTTCTTCTTTTTTTAAACGAAAAGAATAATCGTTATTATTTGAATTTTCAAATACTTGTTATTCTTTAACTCTCATCTCTAAAAATTTATTTCATCCATTATGAAAGCTTTCATTTGTTTACTTTTCATTTTTGCTATTGCTTTTGCTGCTGACACTGCAAGTTGTGCATTCTGTAAGACCATTATTTCTCAAGTTGAACAACTTCAAGCTAAAAAAGGAAGAGCTGCTGTAGAAGATTTTATTGATGAACTTTGTTCAATTGCAACTGATGAAGCTAAAGATGTATGTGATGATTGGAATGCATATGGAATGGATAAAATTATTGATGCTATTATGGCACATGAATTATCAGATTCTGTTTGTGCAAAATGTGGATCTTGTTAAAAGAGGGAGGAGAAGAGATATTTAATACAATTTTTAATTATTAAGTTTTAAAAGTAAAATTAAATTTTACAAAAAGAAATATTGTTTTTATTAAAGAAATAATAATTTAAATAGGAAACAAATTATTTAATTTCATTGAATTTAATTTAATTTGTTAAAAGTAAAAATAAAAAAATAGAAATTCATCTTCATTTTGTTTATTTAATAATTAATTTAATTTGAGTAGTTTAATGAGTGAAGAAAATTTATCACTTAGTGATCTTTTAGAACAAATATTATGTTCTAAAGGATCAATTAAAGTTATTAGAAAAATGTATGAAACTACACAAAGTGAAGGAACAAGTATTTCATTTATAAGAGATTTACTTTGTTTTTTTGAAGGGAGAAATAAAACATTAATATTTATGAATAGATTATTTGAACAATGGATAAATGGAAATGAAAATTTATTATTTGTTATTAGAAAAAATTTTTGGTCATATAATTGTTTTACTGTTTATTTAACTTGTTCCAATTTAGTTGAATATCTTCAAACAATACTCACACCTTTCTTTGATAGTTTACAAAGAAAAGAAGAAGAGCCAATAAAATCTTTATTAATAGAGAGTAAAGAATTAAAACAAAAAGAAATAAATCAATTAAAATTTAAAAATATTGAATCAAATGAAGTAAAAAATTTATTTATTAAACCTGACTTATCACAAATACCTATTTCTCAATTAAATACTTTAATACAATTTATTATTGATAAATTAGAAATGATAATTAATTCATTCATACAATCAGTTGATCGTTTTCCACCTCAAATTGGATTTCTTTTTTATACATTAAGACTTAAAATAATTAATGGATATCCAAGTTCTATGAATTCATTTTTACTTTATCTTATTCAAGAATCAATAATTACACCATTTTTATCTTCACCATCATTTTTTGGTATGCTTGAACAAGTAACTTCAAAACAATTATTTATTATAAATATTTGTATTTATTTATTAAGAAATATTTCATTAAATACACAAATATCATCAGGTTATTTCTCATTATTTAATGATTTTATTGCTTTTCAACATATTAAAATAACAACTCTTTTTTTAAATGTTATTTGTACAAAATATCAAAATGAAAGTCATTATATTATTCCGGAAGAACATTTTCAAAAGGTTTGTTATTCTCTTTCAAAATTATTTATTTCACATGGAAATATATTAGAACAAACATTTATTCAAAAATTACCATCAATTGGATTATCAGAAATATTAAAACGATTAAAAGATTCATGTAAAGCAAGAAAAAAAATATATAAAGATAAGTTTAGACCAATTATTCCTAAAGCACCATTTCAATATTTTGGAAAGAAATATGAAAGTTTAGAAATAATGTATAAAAATAAATTTATTGGATTATCTTCAAGAACGTTATCAACTAATTTAAAATCAAAAAAAATAAATCATGCAATTAAAATATTAAATCAAAATGAAAATTATATTAATTATATTGATCCTAAAACTGGACTTACTCCTTTAATGGTTGCTTGTAAAAATCCTTCTATTGAATTATTTAAAACTTTATTAACTAAATCACCAGATGTATTTATTCGAGATTTTAGAGGATGGAGTGTTGTTCATCATGCAATTTATGAAGATAAAGTAGAATTTCTTTCATTATTAATTAATTATCCATTTTATAATTTATTTGATTGGAATGATGATATGAATACTCCATTACATTATATTGTACAAAAACCTTTAACAAATGAAGTAGAAAAATGTATAATTCAATGTTTAAAGAATGGAGCAAATATTAATTCATTAAATCTTTCAAAAGAAACACCATTATATCGTGCAGTTAAAAAAAATAATATAAATATGGTTAAATATTTATTACCATTAGGAGCAGACCCATTTATAAAATGTGTAACAGGAAGTGTATATGATTTTGTATTAGAAGATCCACCAGAGTCAGAATTAAGAAACATAATATTTGATTTTGTAAAAAAAGGAACTTTATTTAATAAAGAATATATTAAAATTAATAGAGAACAATATCATGTTCATTTTTCAATTCAGGAATATTCAAATATTAATTTTATTATTAATTCTATTCAAGAACAAAATTCATTATTATTTGAAAATTTATTAGATAGAAGTACTTTTGAAAATGATGTTTTATTAACAAATGGAAATACATTATTACATGAAATATCTCGTAATGGTAATTCAGAAATTATGGAAATTTATTGTAGAAAAAAGTTATTATTAAATAATCTAACTACTCCAATTCATATTGTTAAATTAAATAATACTGGTGAAACTCCATTAATGGTAGCATTAAAATCAAATAGAGCTGATTGTGCATTAATGTTATTAAGTTTAAATATTGATAATTTATCAGAAACAATTCATCCAGAGACAAGAAGAAATGCATTACATTATCTTAGTATATCAGATATTTCAGTTGAATTAAAAAAAGTATTATTTTTAAGTTTATTTATTAGAATTACAAATATTAATCAACAAGACAAAGATGGAAATACTTGTTTACATTTATTATTAAAGAAAAAAGAAGATGTTTCTTTAACAGAATTACTTCTTAATAATGGTGCTGATATGTTTATTGAAAATAAAAAAAGACAACAATGTATTCATATTTCTATTGAAAATAAAGATGTTATAAATTTTAATTTTTTATTTGAACATGAATATGATTGGTGTGATGATGATTTTGAATTTATTCATACTTTATATTCACAAGATTCTTTATTATTAATTCCACATGTTATAAATTATCTTAATTCTATTACTTCTTCAAGTCCTGTTCATCGTTGGGAGATTGTTTTAAAAATAAAAAGATTATTAGATTCTTCTCATCTTTTTTCTGATTCTATTCTTGTTAGTCCGAGTTCTTATATTCACTCTTTTATTCAATGGCTGGCTATTAAATATGAATCAGAAACACTGAAAAATCAATTAAAAGAATGTTTAATGGATGATGAAAAAGTAGAAGAAAATTTACAAGAAGATCATATTAGAAATCATATTAATCAAGGATTAGCATTAGGAATTCATGACTGTAAAATACTTAAAATTTCTCTTGAAATGCTTCAAGAAAATCTTTCAAGATGTTTAGAAATTCAAAATTCTCTTGTTAAAAATGATTTTCGTTATGATAAGGCAATTTTAACTAGACTGGTAAAAAAGTTATATTTTGCAACACAACAAGCAAATGCACAATATTATTCTAATTAGTAAATGTAAGTACTATATAATTGGTTATTATAAATAAACAATCTATCTAATTATTTCTTTTGGTTTCAAAAAAAAAAAAAGTTTTGGAAGAATTAAAAAAAAATTAACAAGAAAAAAAAAACTAAAAAATAGTTTAAATAGAAATTCTTAAGTAAAGAAAATGTCTTTTTTATCATTCCTCTTTAAAAAGAAACAAATGAATATTTTAATTTGTGGATTAGATGGTGCTGGAAAAACTGCCCTTGTTCTTAAAATGCAAGGAACTGATCCAAAGTCAATGGAAATTAAACCAACAATTGGATATTTAAATCCTTCTTTTAAATACAAAACATATGAATGGTTATTTTGGGATGTGTCTGGTGCTGCAAAATTTAGAGGTTTATGGAAGTCATATTATCCTAATGTAAAATGTATTGCTTATGTTTTTGATAATACAGATAACGATCGTTTTGATGAAAGTAAAACTGCGTTATTAAATATGCTTGCTGATAGTGATTTAAAAGGAATGCCTTTTATTATTTATGTAAACAAAATAGATCTTAAACCATATGAACCTTCTTTTGCAGATAAATTAGCTCTTACTGAACTTCAAAAAAGTCGTTGTCAAATATTCCCTTGTTCTGCTTATACAGGGGAAGGATTAATGGATGGATTAGATTGGATGTGCTATACTTTGAAAAAATTAATGAAACATGAAAATAACAAAAAATAATTGATTTTTCTTTTTGTTATAAATATTAATTTATATTTAAAATTGTTATTAAGTTATTATTTGGTTTTATTTCTAATTTTTTTTTACTGTTGTTTTGTAACACTTCTTTTTTTTTGTTTTTTACTTTTTCTTTCAAATAAGAAATGTTAGTCAATTATTAAAATATTGGTATTATTATTAATCATCTCTTTTTGAAACTTGTTTCTATAACGTTTTTATGGTTGTCTTACACTAACAAGAAAGAAGAAAGAATTTTCATTAAAGTCAGTTGAAAGTGAACCGAATTTTCAATTCAAAACCTAAGTTATGTAAATTAGTGATTTATTAAACTAGAAAAATGTCAACTATTTGAAAGAGAAAAATAATTCTTCATTTAATAATATAAAGATGATTTAGTAATGAACTAAAATGAAAATTACATATTTAATTAATAAAATGAAAAACATCATTAAGTTTCAACTTTTTAATATATTATCACCATTATATTTTTCTTAAGAAAATAACAATATTATTGAAGATTATTTATATATAGAAGATTATATTTTAAAAAAAAAGAATATAACTTGATAAACCAATAAATCCATTATCATATGACTTAATATTTGAAGATAGTTTTGGTTGTTAAAGTGGAATTATTAAAGAAATTTTTATTACAATAATTAATAAAAGTATAATTGATTTAAATAATTTAATCTAAACTTTTTCATTTATTTTTATTATCGTAGTTATTCAAATTCATTATTATAATAAAATCAATTTGTATTTGCTTTTTTTTTATTATTAATTATATAATTGAAAATAGTATTTATTGTTTATTTTATCAAAAGGAATAAAATAAATAAAACAATTCGTTAAATATAAACTACTTACAAAAATTCTATCTCTCTAACTAAACTGAGAAATAACAACTTTCTGATTCAGTAGTATTTTCTATAGATGTTGTTTTTGGAAGTGTTTGTTCAATATATTTAGATACTATTTCTTTGGATAATTGAATAATTTCTTTATCTTTTCCAAAAAGTTTAATATTATCATAAAATTGAGATCCTTCTTCTACAATTTCTTTTACAGTCCAATCTTTTTTAAGTTTAATATGTTCTAAAATCCATCTTTCTGGCATAAATTTTTTTTCAGGTTTCTTCTTTACAACTTGATCAAAAACAAATCCAAATTGGTATTTAAGAATATATAACATAGAATTATCAATAATAATATTTACCATAATTCTTTTTATTCTTGTTTTTTCATTCAAATTATTTAATAATTTAGATTCTTCAATATCTTTTTCAATAACTTCTCGAGAAAGTAGTTCTGTATCTTCATATTTAATACTTTCTATTTTTAATTTTTGATTCTTTCCTTCTTTTTTTATTTTTCTTAATGATAACGTACAACCTAAATAATAAAAAATCATTAACAAAAATCCTTCATTTCCATAGTCATTATGATTAGCTGATTCTCTGTTGTTTCTTTTTCTCATTCTAATTTCATCAATAGTTCTTATTTTTCTTCTTGGTTTTATTCTCTTAATTTGCTTCTCTTTAGTTTCTTCAATAAATTCTTTAGAATAATCATCAATTACTTCCATTTACTTATATCATTTATTATTATAAAGTTTTTGATTAAATACTACATTCTTTTTTTATATATGTCTATTACTTCAAGTCTCTATTGTAGTTTTTTAATACTCAAAACACAAGTCTTGAAATCAATTATCCGTATTGGTTTAATCCTGAAAAGAAACAAAAAATCATTTCATTTTAATAAAAATAGTTATTTCTTAAATTATTTAATAATTAAAAAAAGAGAAGAACAAGACTAAGGTTCTGCTCTATCATAATAAATTCTTTCAAATCATGCAAAAATAAAAAACAATATTTTAATAAAAATTGTTATTTATTAAAATGAAAAACTCAAAATTAAAATAACAAAAAAGGGTTTAAAAATAATACAAAAACAGAAAAAACGAAAAACCAAAATAAAAAAGATAAAAAAGAAAGTTGGCACTTCGTTGTGCCTCGTAAAAGGAAATAAGATGTTTTTTTTTTATAGAATTAACAATGAACTAAGAAAAGAACTAAAGGGTTTATAAAAACAATATGCAAAGACCAGCTACCAAATTTAATAAAGAAAAACTTCTTATTAATAAGGCTAAATTAGATGAAATTCTTAAACAAAGAAATATGGTTATTCAATCATATGAAATTTATGGTGGTATTGCTGGTTTATATGATATGGGACCTCTTGGGTGTGCTTTAAAACAAAATATACTTCAATTTTGGAGAAAACATTTTACTACATATGAAAATTTCTTTGAAGTTGAAGGACCAATTTTAACACCAAAATGTGTTTTAGCAGCATCAGGACATACTGCTAAATTCAGTGATTATATGGTTAAAGATTTAAAAAATGGATGTTGTTATAGAGCTGATCATTTACTTAAAACATTCTATGAAAATAAAATGGAAGACCCAGCTACTTCTGCAGAACAAAAAGCTACATATGATGCTGAAATGAAACTTGTAGATAATTTAACTCCTGAAGAACTTTCTGCTGCTATTAAAAGAAATGGAATTAAAGCACCAGATACAGGTAATGATCTTTCAGAACCATTAGCCTTTAATTTAATGTTTGCAACTGATATTGGACCAGCTGGAGATCTTAAAGCCTTTTTAAGACCAGAAACAGCACAAGGAATATTTACTATGTTTAAAAGAAATCTTGAATTTAATGGAGGAAAAGTACCATTTGGTGTAACTCAAATTGGTAATGTTTTTAGAAATGAAATTGCACCAAGAAATGGTTTATTACGTGTTCGTGAATTTACACTTGCAGAAATTGAATACTTTGTCTTACCAGACAAAAAGACTCATTCTAATTTCTCTGATGTTGAAAATCTTTCTGTTCAATTATATCCAAGGGAACTTCAACTTGAAGACAAAGAAGCTGAATATATTACTCTTGGTAAAGCTGTTAATGATGGAATTATTAATTCACAATTATTAGCCTATTTTATGGGAAGAACATTTAAATTCTTAATTGAACTTGGAATTCCAGCTGAACATATTAGATTTAGACAACACTTAAAAACAGAAATGGCACATTATGCTAAAGATTGTTGGGATGCTGAAATTAGATTATCATATGGTTGGGTTGAATGTGTTGGTCATGCTGATAGAGGAGACTTTGATTTATCTAATCATGCTCGTTGTTCTAAGGTTGATCAGTCTGTATTTATTGCTTACGATGAACCAAAAGAGGTTAAAGACGTTACTCTTTCTTTCAATAAAGGAGTTATGGGAAAGAAATATAAGAAAGACTCTCAAAAATTATTTGCTTATGCAGCTGGTTTAGATGAAGCTGCTAAAGAAGCAGTTGCCAAAGAAGTTGAAGAAACTGGAATGTGGAAAGTTACTGTTGATGGTATTAACTTTGAAATTGAAAAAGCTAATATCACTATTAAAATTGGAACAAAGAAAGTATATGGTGATAATATTATTCCAAATGTTATTGAACCATCTTTTGGTGTTGGACGTGTATTAACTGCTGTTCTTGAACATTCATTCTGGGTTAGAGAAGACAATGAAGCAAAATCTGTTTTATCAATTCCTGCTTCTATTGCTCCAGTCAAAGTTGGTTTATTCCCACTCTTAACTAAACCAGAATTTAACAATAAAGTCGCCGAAATTGAAAAGATTTGTAAAAATGGTTTCCTTTCATTCAAATCTAATACTACTGCTGTTGCTATTGGTAAGAAATATGCTCAAGCTGATGAGGCTGGTATTCCATTTGATGTTACAGTTGATTATACTTCTCTCTCTGATAATACTGTCACTCTTAGAGACAGAGATACTACAAAACAAATTAGAATTCCAATTGACAAGTTAGTTGAAACAGTACATGCTCTTACTCAACTTCATCCAACTACAACCTTTGAGAAACTTATGACAATTTATCCAGTAGAAGAAGTCAAAGAAAATTAAATTATCTTTTGAGTGATATTTTATTTATGTTTTAAAGTTTAATTATTTTTTTCTATGGAATAATTTGTTGTGGAATATTTAAATCAGTTACAAAGAAAACATTTACAAAAAAATTCCTAATCAATAATTAAAATGATAAATAAAAAGAAAAGGT